TATTGATCCTATAAAAATAAAGTGTAATATTTGGTCTCTGTTGATTCGATCCTCAAGTACTACATTGAACCTCTTATTTGAGAGAGTAGCTTGAAGGTTAATTTGAGCATATCAGCATCATATCATGGTTAGAGTAATATGGGTATATAAAGTATAATCTTTGAAATATAAGGTGTAGTACAACTATATGAAAATATTAATATATGAAATATAACATCATATCATCAATATATGATGCATATACCAGAAAATGTCAACCAAAAAATTATAATATTGGAAATCTATATATTGAAATCGTATAATATAAGATCTACGATCAACTACATTGGCTACAAAGTGTAGGACAGTGTAGTATGAGTTTATATCATATAGTCTTTGAAATATTAGGTGTAGTACAACTATATGAAAATCTTAATATATGAAATATAGTACAATATCATGATTAGAGTAATATGAGTTTATAAAGTATAGTCTTTCAAATATAAGGTGTAGTACAACTATATGAAAACATTAAGAGTGAATGAGGCCAATATACGTAAGAGAGGACGAAAACAGGCATCTGCCTTACCGATTCTAAATGGGCCCAATATCAACCTTTTGAGCTGTCTAATTACGGAATTGCCCTGCACTCGGCTTGAGATTAGCTTACGTCATAAGCTACGGTGATTTGGGAAGATTTTGTTTAGATTTATTAAATATATTATGGAGATTATTTTTCGACATCGAGGTGGCTACTAGATTTTGTATCAGAAGGGATTAAATCTCGACCGTCTATTGACTGACACGAACGGCGCCGAGATATCGTATCCAAGACAAATCTAAAACCTTTACATACAAGAACAACGTAAGCATAGGAGATCGTTCATCTTCTTTATCTCTTCCCTCTATAAAAACCAGTAACCTGTAAAGCTTGCTCAGATCCGCTTTCTCCGACCTTTGGTCATAAGCTTAAAAAAGAAAGATTATGTGACCTTTTTTAATCCATATTGGGAGCTTTCTTCTGAGTTGGAAAGGTAGTGTGAAAGTTTAAACTTGATTGAGAAAGTTTATTTATTTCTTGTTCTTATTCATTAAATGATATTAACCGGTAACGTAGTTACAAAGTCGTAAGCTTTACTCAATCATTCTTTTTAATGTTGTAAGGCCGTTGTTGCATTGTAATTTTGTATTTATTGCTCAAAACCCTAACTTTTGTTTTCTTGTTATTGAGCTCATCATAAGCATATTTGTTGAATAGAAATTTCCGTCAGCTAATTTCTATTATTTATTTTTCATATAGATGCCGATTTATGTGAAGCTTTGGAGGGGAGAATGGAAGAAGACTGCTTCGGACGAGTGGCATTTCCACCCTGATATGGATGAGATTGGAACAAGAGTGATGATCAACGACGACGCAACATATGAGTCCATCGAAGATATGGTAAGGAGACACTATTCATTACGCGAGACAACGCCACTCGTGCTAACCTTTCGTCTTCCAAGCTGGATGTTGTCTTCAATCGCCTACAAAACTCCACCAACAACGATAACCACCACCGAAGACCTATGCGTGCATGGCCAGGACATATATAGGAATTTTCCATACACCATCAAGACAAAATCATTGGGCAGGACATATATAATCATTATAATTAATATATAAGGTCATCCATCCAACTCATTACCTTTCCACCAACATCGGTTTTACGAGCATGGCCAGGACATATACTTCGGTTCCCAATTCTGTCAGATTCTTCATGTTCCTCGCCATCACTATAGTCATCATCTGATCCACCCGAGCCCCCTTCATGTACTCCTTCCGTTAGTGCAGGCACGGCTTCAATCATTACAAGTTGTAACGCCAGGACAAATCCCTTTTAAGCTATAGTGTTTTGGGATAGAGATACTTCGTTTCTCTCTTTCATACTGGTGATAAGCAAGTCAAATGATGCACGACCCCATGGAAATGCCAAGAATGCTTCCAAATCTTTTATCTTTTCCGCATATTCATGTGAAATTCGTGGTGTGTGAGTGGTCGGGAGAACAACTGCTGCGAGCAGAGCAAGATACGCATATTTCATCCTTATTTCTTTATCAGTTACGCTTCTATTTTTCAGCATCCTTACCACTGAGCTCACAGGGACTTCTATCAATGTACCAAATAGCTCGGCCCAGTATGGCCTCTCGTTTAGAGCTCTCTTTGCCTTCCTTTTTCCACCCGCCGGTAACTTCCCACAATTGAGACCTGTGACTATGGCAAATTCCCTTACTGAAAATCGAATTGGTTTCCCTGCAAACAAGAACCATGCTTCATATTTCTTGTTCACCTTCAATTGCCTGGACATAATATATCTACCAAATCTTCCTGAGAATGTCGGTTTTTCTGCAATTTCGACAAGCTTGCCAAAAGGTGATCTACGCAAAACTTCGACTTCATCTTCCTTCAGTGCGCGAATTATATCGCTAATCGCAAATGGTTTATGATACGGGGTAATCCTAACACCAACGGGTTCTTCGCCCGAGAGCAAACATCCTCTCCGGTAGTCTCTGTACCGCGTCTCCTGAACATGGATTTCTCTACTCTACGATTTGTATAAAACTTCTTCACTTTTACAAAAGTTTAGAAAAGGGGGAGTGGTTTTGAAGCAGAAATTCACAATCCGACGGTTTCAAATTTCAAATTGCAAATCTATTAGATAACGTAGATCTCATCTCTGACATCAGATAAATGGTAAGATTTTCGTATCGAACCAAATCTTTAACCAAATCTTTCGATATCTTTTACTTGCTATGATACGATAGGGGTATCAGTGTCCTTACCGAAGTTTGAACAGTGTGAAACAGTTGCCTTGGGTACTCTCCTAATTTCCCACTTATTCTAGTATATGGAGTTCAATTTCACAAATATTAATATGTGAAATATAGCATCATATCATCGATATATGATGCATATACCAAAAAATGTCAACCAAAAAATTATAATGTTGGAAATATATAGATTGAAATTGTGTAATATAAGGTATATAGCACAATAGAAATGTATGAAATATAGTCAAATGGTTAGAGTAATTAATGGAAAGAGAGAATAAATCCGGTATAGTTAATATGTGATATGATTTGTAACAATCGATATATATATAGATGTAAGACCTAAAAATAAATAATAAAAATGCCATTAATGAGGTTGCAGACAACTTCCATCAGTCGATTTTTCAAAGGTGCCTTCACTTTTAATAGTATAAATTTATATTGTATCTGTTAAAATGAATAATCTGCGAAAAGGACTAATTTTATTTCTTGTATTTCTATTATCATAAAATTATTTAATTGATGATTGATTTTAAGATTTTATTTTATCTAGTCTTTTTTTTTATGAACTTATATTAATTTAACTGAAATGGAAATTTTTCAAAAAATAGAAAGAACCATCAATTTAATTGACTTTTTACTTTTTTCAAAGTAATGCCCTAATTTCATGAGCAACATATTATTCAAGTCTACAAATCAAAAATCATATCTTTCTTTGTGACTACATAATATACAATATTGGACTCATCCTTTTAACATATTCTTTGAAAGATATGGTAACAATAAATCAATTCAAAAATATTTGTTTCTTTTAAAATGTTCATTTTTTAATTGCAGAATATTCTTCAGTGGCATGATGTAATATTTGTGTAAAATTAAGGGTTAATTCCAGTTTGTACTTTAGTTTTAATAGATTTTTTTAGTTAAAAATAGAATTATGACATATTTTTAATCTATAAAAGATTAAATATCTATAAATATAGCTTCATTCAATAGATCAGTCATATGACAATGTAAACATAGTGAAAAATTAAGGGATAATTTAAATTTCTACTTCTCTTTTAATAGATTAGGTAAGAGCCGTCTCTTAACCGAAAAATGTAAAATAAAATAAATGTCAAATCATGAGTTAAAAATCCCGGTTAAGAGAACAAGATTGATCATGTCTTTATGTTCATTCTATTAAAATATTTAAAATATGATTTGAGATAATTTTCCTGAAGAAAAAGATTCTGATGACGAAGAAGAAGGTGAAGAAGTTAATAACCATGGTGAAGAAATTCTTGTAACTCAAGATCAACAAAGAGAACATGCAAATCAAGTGAGAGCGACAATAGCTACAAATATGTGGACAGATTTTTTGTTATCATGATAGACAAAATGCTAAACATATATTGTAGCTTTTATATTTATTTTATTACAAAACTGAACTTACTGCAAATCCATTTGATTGATTTATGATAATCTAGTATTTTGATTTTGAAATCCATAGCATTGATTCTGAAGTCTACTTATTTGATTTTAAAATGAATGGATTTATAAAAAAATTATAAATCCAAGGAAGAATCCTAAATTTATCAAAATACTATAACCAATAATCCCTACTTATTGGATTTAAATGAATTTGAATTATTTATGTATGTTAAAACATAAATTTAAAAATATGCACAGAGTAGCTAACATTAATAGAAATCTAAAGTTTAAAAATGATTAATTTTAATTTTATAAAATAGATTCTAAAAAACTATATAAATACACTACCCTCTCCATTTCACTTTATATGTCATTCTAAATTTTTTTTACATATATCAAAAAAATCATTAAATTTTTTGTTCTACCCCTATTTAATACATTGATTTTTTTTTTGAATGAATATAAAATTTATTCAAACAAAAACTGTGTGATATACATCCAATTAATAAAACAATAAAACAAAACTCCTAAATTTCTTTTTACGGTGGATCTGATACATCTAATACATCGATTTCTTTGATTATTTTAGTTAATGAGCTGAAAGAATAAGGATAAATTTAGAAAAACTAGCAAAAAATTGTATTGAAAACGTAAGCCTACACTTAAAATAAAACAAATTTAAACTTTAAAATAACAACTAATACGAACAGAGGGGAGTATAAGATATAATCGCTGATTTGCTGTAGTAAATCTTCTTGTTATAATCTATAAATCATAACTAGTTTTAATTACTTAAACTCCTTCGGTGAATAATAATATAAAAACAAAAAAAAACAAAAAACAAAAAACAGTATCAATAATATCATGCTTTAGGGATCAGATGAATTTTATTTTGTTTACTTAGAGCACAGTCTAGGAACAAGAACAAGAACTAGAAGATATTGTAGCAGCTTACACAAAAACCTCCACATTACATGGGAACATCTGGATCCAACCTTCTCTGAATAGCAGCGGCGGCCTGCGTGAATTAAGAATAAAAAACGTTACATCAATAATAAAATCGAAACATGAGATGATGAGAAAAAAATAGGGGTTTTGTATCAGACCTCCATGTCCCCAATCTTGTATAAGTAGACCATTTCTTCCTTTAGTCGAGCTTGTTCCTTCATAGCTTGAGCCTGCAATTAAGTTATATAATCAACGTAAGATCTGTGCAAGTAACCAGATTAATGGTAAAGAAAACCGCAAAGATTTCATAAAAGAAACTGACCATTCCGCCTTCCATTGATCGCTTTAGAGCTAGCACTTCTTCTTCCTTCTGCTTCTCGCGTGCTTCCTGCATCTCTAGCCTGAAAACAAGCACACAAACATGCCTTTAAAGCAACCCATTCAGAGCATTTCTATGTATGCTGATGTTAAGTGAAGAATCTTTGGTTTACCGGCGTTGCTCCTCGTCATTGAACACAGTCCGTTCACCCTGCCCAGCTTTCTTCAAACCCTTCTTCATCTCTTTCTCCAACTTACGTCTATAGTAACCATCAATGTCATAGTATCTGCAACATTTCAAATAGATACGAAATGAACAACTACTCAACAACATTCATCAAATCCACAACCAAAAGAAGCTTACTTCTTGGAGGTAAATGTACCAGTATTGTGATCTTCCATGAAACTGTGAAAGAATCAATCAATTGCACAACATTATATCAGAAACCAAAAGAACTCCAGACGAACATAAAGTCAGGAGATACGTACTCTTTAAACATTTTCTTCTCTTCCCATGGTGGCAAGCTTTCCAAGTTGACCTATTGGACCAAGCAGAGAACCAAAATCAATACAAAAAATAGAGCTAAATTTACATTATTCGTTTTGAATCAAAGCAAAATATAAAGGTTACAGAGTAGATGAGCTACCTCTTTTACTTCAAGAAGCCATGCTGTGAACTCTGGTCGTTTATTCCTACGTATATGAGTAATCAACAACTTCAATATCTAATTTCTATTTCAAAACAGCAAATACAAGTACATTAATCTTCATAAAAGACTCAACATTTGTAAAACTAATATCACAACCACGAGTATATACCTATCTATCTATCTAGGTCCATGTTAAAGCCCAAGATCCAAAAAAAAAACAGAGTCTTCACATATATGAGTAATCAACAACTTCAATAGCTAATTGTATTTCAAAAACAGCAAATACAAGTATAACTAAAATTACATTCTTAAAAATCAGTATCCGAACTAATCTATCCATCTATCTTGCTCATGTATATTACCTACTATATATAAATGTGTAATCGCGCACATCCACAAGTATCTAAATTACCTAGCTCCATATATTAATTCAAGATTTTCCAGAGAGAAACTTTACCACATATCAGTCTCTCTGATGACTCCATACTTTCCCCAAGATTCAGTGACCGCTCCTTTCTTCGCTTTCTCAGACTTCTTCTCTTTCTTTCGCTTCTTCTTCTTCTTGCTATCTCCATCAACACCTTTCTCCTTCCTTCTCTTCTTCTTCTCTTTCTCTCTCCTCCTTTTCTTCCTCTCTCTCTCCTCCCTCTCCCTTCTCTTCCTCTTCCTTCTCCTCCGCTCATCCTCACTCTCACTCTCACTCTCACTCTCACTCTCCTCAGAATCCGAATACTCAGATTCCGATTCGCTACTACTGGAATCATCGTGGCGTCTCCTGCTTCGTCTACTCCGAGATCTCCGATCTGATTTCCTCTTCCCTCTCGACTTTCGACTTCTGCGTCTCTCTTCCTTCTCCGATTCGGAGTCGCTACCACTCTCCAATCCCGAACCTGAATCAGAGTCTCTTCTATCTTTTGATCTCCTCTTAGATTCACGGCGACTCACATCTTCTTCTTCTTCTCCGTTGGACTTCTTTTCGATACGGCTGGATTTCTCCAGGGATGATTTTCTTCTGTAGTCTCTATCCTCGACGTCGCCTTTCGCGCTCTCCGGCGGAGAATCGTCGCGGTCTCTTCCCATCTCGCCGGTGAGTTATCTCGACCCAACCCTAGAAGATCGACTAAAAGCAATGCGGATTGGGCTGTAATTGATAAAGCCCATTTCTATATATTGTGTCGTAGAAGAAGGCCCAGTAGTAACAACGTGACCGCGGGGTTATACGCCAACCAAATGAAATGGCGGATTCTCTCAGCTACGGCACAGTTTTAGCAGAGACAATGTAAAGAACACAAGAGAAAACAATGTGCTTAACGACGGTGGTGTTGATTTCTGGACATGGACATGGCCCATGGGCATATGTAACTCAATCCAAAACTGACAAAGTATGAACCCATATCCAATCTGAACTGTAAATACTTATATTATTATAATATATTATTATATTTAGGTTCATCAACCAATAAAATTATATTATTATATATTTAATATCTTTCAAAAAAAGAAATAAAATATTATCAAATTATATTATGTTTTTAAATAAAAAATAAAAGAAAATTTAATATTTTTAACATAACCAGCAAAACACTAAAACCTAAACCATAAATCATAAACCCTAAATCATTGAATAAATCTTAAGTCCTTGGATAAATCTTAAACCTTAAATCAAAAATACTAAACACTAAATATCTTAAAAACACTAAACCCTTAATCATAAGCCCTAAACTCTTGGATAGATTATAAATCCTAAGATTTATGGTTTCTCCAAGGGTTTAAAATTTAATGTTTAGCATTTAGGATTTAGTGTTTTGTTGACGGTGTTAAAAATATTTTAAATTCTATTTATTTTTATTCAAGAGTTTAGGGATTAGGATTAGGATTAAGGATTTAGTGTTTTTAAAATTTAGTGTTTAGTGTTTTTGATTTAGTGTTTAAGATTTGTCAGAGGGTTTATGGTTTACTTAAGGATTTATGGTTTACCCAAGAGTTTAGGATTTAGAGTTTAAGGATTAGTATTTTGCTGATGGTGTTAAAAATGTAAAAAATAAAATTATTTTTGCAACTATTATTATTTTTATTTATTTTTATCTTTTTCTTTTAAAAACATAATACAATTTGACAATATATTTTTTTGTAAGAAAAATACTAAATATATAATAACACAACTCTATTGGTTGGTGAACCTAGAGAGTCATCATAAAAGAGTGAATCCAAGAATAACTCTTATAAAAAGGTATTCGAATATCAGATATTATACATAATTCTAGGATTTACTTCATAGGGTAAACTTCTAGGTTCACCAACCAATAAAGTTATATTATTACATATTTAATATATTTTAAAAACAATAACAAAAAATTATTAACTTCTATTCTGTTTTTGTTTTAAAAAGGAAAAAAAGTGATAGTTGCCAAAAAGAAAAAAGAAAAATTTTAACATTTTTAATGCCGTCAGAAAAATACTTAATCTTAAATCATAAACCCCTAAATCATAAACCTTAAACCTTTGGATAAACCCTAAGCCCTTAGATAAATCCTAAAACCTAAACCATAAACACAAAACACTAAATTTTAAAATACTAAATCCTTAATCATAACCCCTAAATCATTGGATAGATTGTAAACCTTGAGATTTATGGTTTACCCAAAGATTTATAGTTTAGTTCTTAAGATTTAGTACTTAGGGTTTAGTGTTTTGCTGACATAATATAAGTTAATAATATTTGGTAATATTTAGTAATATTTTGTAATATCTTGTAATATTTTGTTTCTTCTGAAGTTAAAACTATTTAAATTTATTTACTTTTATCAAGGGTTTAAGAGTCATGATTAAGGGTTAAGTGTTTTTAAAATTTAGCGTTTAGTGTTTTGATTTAGTGTTTAAAATTTATCCAAAGTTTATGGTTTACCTAAAGGTTTATGGTTTATCAAAGAGTTTAAGGTTTAGGGTTTAGGGTTTAGGATTTAGTGTTTTGTTGACGGCGTTAAAAATAGTTTAAAAAAAAATCATTTTTTGCAATACTTTCATTTACTTTTATCTTTTTATTTTAAAATATAATATAATTTAGTAATATTTTGTTTCTTTTTTAAAGATACTAAATTTATAATAACATAATCCTATTGGTTGTTAACCATAAAAGGTAAATTCAAGAATAACTATTATAGAAGTACAACCCAAATCCGAACGAGTATCTTACAAAAAAAACCAACAAAATATATAAAAATTTGAAAAGCAGATACGAAAATCCTAATTGGCATTTAAAAGAAATATTTAAAACCTATATAAATATTTTATATATTTAATTTTATATTTATTTTGGTATGGCTACAAGAATACTCGAACTCACTACACAATATTATTTTGTCTAATATGAAATAAGTTTGGATCCAAACTATACACGGCGTATTACTAAAATGTGAATAAGCCTTAGGAAGTTGAACATGAAAATATGAAAACCTAATATGTATCCGAACACCTAGACATATTGCTTTCATAACAAAGAGCAGTTGGAAACATTTCTTAGGGACATTGCGGGAAGGCGACTTACTTCCACACCTAAACTATCATATAGTAATACATGTACACATTCTTTCAACATGGTCCTAATTGCAGACCACTTAAGTTTAACAACTTGTTTCCACATACAAACAAAGTTCACAACCCGTATCCCCCTAAACTTTGAAGTATCATACTTGTGTTCCGACGGGTACTTGTGAGTATGCTCAAAGTTCCACAAATAGCTCGCTTGTTTGTTGACAAGATCAGAAAATAACCAGACTATTACATGCCCATAAAGATTGAGGAGCTTGTTATGGAGAAATGGAAGATCAGTGTTAGTTAACCGCAATGGCAACACACTAGGAACAAAGCGTTCAGGTGGATTGAAAGAGAGTATGATGAGCAGTTTGGACGGCTGAGGGATTACTGCTCCGAGATAAGAAGCTCAAAAGAAAATTATTCTATTGAGCTTGACTGCGTGACAAATGATGATGGGATTGATGTTTTCAATAGATTTTATGTTTTTTTTTGTTTTTTTCGGAGAAACTGGAAAGAAACTTGTAGGCCAGTAATTAGAGTAAGTAGATGGTTGTTTCTTGAAGTCTAGGATGAAAGGGCAGCTGCTAGTTGCTTTGGGTCGTGATGCCGATAATGCCATTTACCCTATCGCATGGGCTGTTGTACAAGTACAGAACAAAGACAATTGGTTGTGGTTTGTGAGAAATATCAAGGTAGATCTAGGACTAGGCGAAAGAGAGAGTTATATTATGGTTTCATATCGTCGAAAAGGATTGATTGCAGTTGTGAAGAGAGCACTACCGCGCAATTAACATAGAAAGTGTGTTACACACATCTATGGTAACTTGAAAAAAAACTCATGGGAAGAAACCTGAAATGAAGTCAAGGATTTGGAACTTTGCTTGGCGCTACAATGAGGCTGATTACAGAGCAAATCTCTTAGATGTTGAGCAGTATGATCAAGATGTTTATGATGATGTGATGAAGTCAAGGCCAGAGAAGTGGTGTAGGGCATTCTACAAGATTGGACCTTTTTGTGAAGACGTGGAGGACAACTCAACTGAATCTTTCAACAACTCCATAGATAAAGCCCGAGACAAGCCTTTTGTACTTATGTTTGAGACAATAGCTCGCTTGGCGATGGTTCGTATAACAAAAAGTGATGTCATTTGAAGCAGCCACGAAGGGATTTGCACATCGTATGTCATTGATATGCTCGAGAGTTTGCATAAGAAAGCCTCGCAATGCACTGTTAAACAGTCCACCAACCAGATTTATGAATCTACTCTTAATGGCTGTGGACATAGGGTGAGCTTGGAAAATCGAACTTGTAGTTGTAGGAGATGGGAGATTACATGGATTCCTTGTGAGTACGCCTATAGAGTTATGCTGAATAAAGGCTTAGAAGCTCAAGAATTTGTGGCTCACTGGTTTAGAACAGCTATATGGAGATGTACTTATGCTGAAGGGATTGTTGTACCACTGCATGGAGCAAAGTTTTGGCCCGTAGGATCGGAACCACCTATAATTGAACATGAGATACCAGATTAACCAGACCATAAGAAGGTGACTAAAGCGGATAAAAAGAGCAAGAAAGGAGTCAATGGATCACCATCAAAGAAAAAAGAGAAGTTCTTGAAGCGGACAATGCATTGTAGGTGGCTAATCATAACTCCAGGTTCCATAAGAATAATCCGAATAAGGTTTGTTTCATTGTGTTCTCGTTTTTTTTTTGTTTATGATGTGTAATGTGTTGTGTTTTGGATTGAAGTGGAGATTGTTTGTTTATTGTGTGTTTTAAACTTTTGTGAATGGTGAATCTTCTTAGCCTGAAGCTTCCCAAGGTGTTTTCACACAGCCTGAGAAGTGAATATGTGAAGAAGAAAAGATGAGTGTGAAGAAGTGGTCAATTTTCTGTTGTTTAATGACATTTTTCATAGGCCTTATGTGTCTTTTTAAGGTTCTATGACCTTGTTTTTCGGCTATAGATTTATTTTTCACGTTCTAGGACCATGTTTCTCGGGTATTTAGACTATTTTTGGTGTGTTCAAGGTTCTGTGACCTTGTTTCTCAGTTAAAGACTTAATGTATGATATTTTAATTACTTTGCTCATTTTTATATATGCTTTTGAACTTTCATTCTCGACTTTTAAAGCAACTGAAACATCTTATAATAAAATACATTGTTTCATCATCTTAAATAAATAAACACTTAATACAACCATCATCATCATCTTAACAATACAGCCATCATTCTCACCTTAACAATACAACCATCTTCATAATTTTGAACATAAAACAATGGAGAGTTAGCTTAAACAAACTGAAAGAAGCTATATTACCTTAGACAACACAACCATGATCAAACATCCCAAAACAATAAGAACTAGCGCTTTCTTGACCTCCCATTTGGTTTCACGCACAACATCTTCTATCCTTGCAAAAATCTCGGTCTCTAATTTCATTTCAAGCTTTTCAAATTTCTTCTTCTCTTCTTCCTCACGATTAGCAAGAAATGTATGTTCAAGTCTCCCTATCCTTAATGTCAATGATTCACCCTCATCCAACAACGCCTCATCAACCCATTTATAATAGTGATTATCATTACTCAGGTACAAACACACAAAATTTGATTCACCCACACATTTTGAACATTGACATTTATATAAACAAACTAACCTTTCTCTCCACCGCAACATCACACCGAATGTATCTCCTGTAAGGATTCGTGGTCGACTTCGACGTTAAGGGGATTGTTAATTCTCCACACCAAAATCTCTTACCAACAACGCGACCTCTTGTCCGATCGCTAGAGACTCCACTCGAATTACCAGATTCATTACTCATACTTTCTTAGTTTGCCTTTGAAATTTTTTTTCTTGTTTTTTAGATTTTAGGGTTCTAAATGTTAAAATCGATTTGGGTTTTTTTAAAAAGGATTTTGAGTGGGGAATAAATCGATCTCGAGTTGGATCTTTCTTTGGGTCAAGTTGTACCAATATCAAGCGATACATACTAGTTTACTATCGGTTTAAGTCATAAGCCAACTTAACCAAGCCACAACTTGGTCTGTAGGGCAACGGGTTGTGAGCTTTGTTCATATGTGGAAACATGTTGTTAAACTTAAGTGGTGTGCAATTAGGACGAAGTTGAAAGAGTGTGTACTTTTCCTACTATATGTTAGTTAGGGTGTGGAAATAGATTTTCCCGGATATTGCGGAGAAATAAATATTGAAAGTTCAGTTCACGAGAATGGCAAAGATGTTGTTCTGGAGGAGCAAATGTGTACATCACCACTAGAAATGTGAAACTGAAGTAATAGATTCTGAAATACTGGAGAAGCTGAAGGAGGTAGGTTATGATTGGGAGTTATAGGAGTTTGAGTCTTTGAGATGTGTGATAGGACAGCACCAATCGTTCTGTGCTGCAACATTACATATCGTTCTGTGTTGCAACATTACAGATCGTTCTGTGTTGCAACTTTACAGATCAGTTCTTGGATGATGAGAAGGGAGAAAATTGAAGTCATTTGTATAAGGACTCTGTAGAATAACGAAGCATTTACGGAGAGGGAACTGTCTAAACTGTGAAGAGTATAAGGAGTGCTGCTAGTAGTGTAGAAACACATGTCAAGAGCTGACTGCACTTTTCAAGATCCAAGAAGCTAACAAAGAGACGATATAGAGCGTTAAGTGTAGCTTGGATGAGAGGTGGTTTGCTAGTGCTCCTTCAATGTTGAGAACCACTTGAAAAGTTAAATAACATTATATGTATATTTAGAACCTACTCAAAAGTCAAAACTGACCAACAAAAAACTTTAACGGAACAATATTGTAAAAATTTAAGTTAAAAAAGTTCAATAACATTACAGAAATTTCGAACCTACTCAAAACTGATGGTAAATTTTTAATTTGTTACAACAGCATTAGATCTGTTTTTACCAAATTATAATTTACACTGAAAGACTGAGGCCTCCTCTGGTTCCAACTGCCACCAAAGCTGATTTCAGCATGGCCGGAGTTAGACGCTACCGTTTCATGCTTCAAGACTTATTCTTCCGTTTTCTTTTCTTCGAACTTGGTTCTTCTTCATCATCTTTATTATCATCCACCATCTTCTTCTTCTTGCTAGTACTCTTCTTCTTCCGAGAAGACTCTTTCCTAGTTGACTTACCAGGAGTATCAACTAGTACAGGAGTCTTGTCTCCATTCACAGTATCCCCTCTAGGGAACGAGCCTTCCTCGTCTTCTTCCAGTTGCCAATTGCAGAAAAGCCCTCCATTGCTTTTGCCGTTAGCAGACATTGGCAACGGCTCTCCTGCTCCGGGAAGCAAGCTGTTGAAAGTGACATCCCCGTTTTTCCCACCTTTGCGCTCTAACAGAATCCGGTCTGGTCTGATTATTGTGCCGAGAATGCTTCGGTTCGGTCCTAAAGCAAGAATAGCTTTCGTGTTTGTTAAAGTAGACAAGGCCATTGCAAACGCTGATCGGATCTGTAAGAAAGAACTCGTCTTGAGTAAGTATATATCCACCTTGTTTAACGTATATACTTTCGTAATAAGTGAACAGAACCTGAAAGTAGTTGAATGAGCTTTTGCCAATGTCATTCTCTGGTGTCTGGTTATACAAAGAAAACAAAACAACCAAGTTAATCTTTCGTCTGTTACATTCTAACGCTTGTGTTTATACAAAACCAAAGCTGACCTGTGGATCCTCAATAGAGATGAGCCCTGGCCGGGCTTGGTTCAGGAAACTGAGGACACAAAAACGAAGACAAAGGTAAACTCTCAAAGAGATGCAAAAGGTAGAGGTCGATGGTATTTCAAGGAGTTTAGATTAGCCAGTAAAGATGAGAATCAAGTGAATAAACACTCCATTGTCGGGTTAGTTAGTTACCCTTTGTTACTCTTTGAAAAGAAAGAACCCCCTTTCCTGCAAGATACACCGACATCTGCGGTGTTCAATTTTCGCCCGTAAAAATCAAAGAATTTAACCTACAATAAGGGAAATAGAAGGAGAGATCTTAGCCAACAAAGGAAGCCAATACAATCAAAAGCTTCGAGTCGCAATGACAAAAAACGTACCAACAGCACTCCCAAGTTATGCTCTGGTGGGCTCCGGCCATCTTTGAGGTACTGTTTCATATAAGAAACAAAGGTACAAAGTAGTTCCAACTTAGAGATTTTTCTCTAAGTAGTTCGGAAAGTGAAAGATCTGGTACTATGAGATTCAAGCAACCACTGTTACCTTAAGAAATGCGATGAGCATTGCTAGAAGTGCATATGAACCAATTCCACCACTGTACACCTGCCGAAAAACATTAAAGATAATTACTGAATGTTTGGGACTGTGAAGAAGGATGGTATATACTACAGAAAAGTAAACTATTCCCAGACCTCATTGAGTTCCCTCTGCTGTAGAAATACTTTCAGAATTAGACACAATGGTCGTAGAGGAGGCAACTTCAATACAGCATCCTGATAAATAATTCAAGAGAATAACCGTGAGATCAAAACATTGAAAAGCTGGTAAAAAAGTATTATTCAGCTAAAATCATCAGAAACCTGTATAAACTCAGCTGCCTTTGGTCCATTCTCCATATCAAAACTGCGTAGCCAATGCCACAGTTAATAACTCACAGTAATTAAATTCACATAATCCATCCACAAAGTCATATATATGTATAATAACCTTAGATCAAATGAAATATTGCTTTTCTTCTCGACAAACTTGATAATTGGTACACGAGCCTTAGCAATCACCTGCACATATCAGAGGCACATATCAGAAAGCTAGTTATGAGACACAGTCTCTCAGTCTGATACTGAAATGTTATAAGAGAAAAGTCAAAAGATACCTGAATATTCTTAGCAATCCCTCTTTGTGCCAATGCTCTGGAGAGTGCTTTCAGACCTAGTTGAGGATTTGTGATACCTGACTCCAGAATCACAACCTTGATATACCCAAAAGTAAAAAAAAAAAAAAAAAAAAGATTTAGACATCACATCTTCAAAACAAAAATGTCAACAGCATCTTACAAGTCTACATGCTATTACAGAATCAACCAAACAAAAAGAATCACTTACATCGATATCACTTGTTGGAAGATAAAGTCCCGTCTTGTATGATCCGAAAACTTCTACCTGCAAAAAAAGAATAAGGAATGAATCACTTTTGAGCTAAACGATACTCAGAGAGAGAGAAAAAAGCTCTATATACCTTGCAATCAGGCCAGATATATTGAATGACACTTCTAACATTATCCATAGCTGCATCACGCTGTGCTTTCTCTTCTTGAGTTGGTAAGAGAAACTCGCCAAAATCTACAATCTCTGCAACACCAACATGGAAAGAGAGAATCTTTCAACACCAAAAGAGAATCAATGCTTCAACAAAACCCTCAACTTTGAAAGGATTTGTTACCTTTATGCAGTTGAAGCATTGGGATCTTAGAACAGCTGTTCTCGTTAAACCAGTTAGTCTCTAATCTGGGCTCTTCAGCTTCTTTCTCTTTCCTCCTCTTTCTGCTCTTCTTCGAGGTCACAACCGGCGTAACAAACTCGTCGCCCTTCTCATTCTCCCCGGCGTCGACGTCGAGTGAGAAGAAATCGACAGTTTCTGACTCCACCGGCGTTGTGTTTTCGGTTAAATCAGAAATCTCGTTGCGGAAAACAGAATAGTTGTGAGATTCGTCGTGCGTTGCTGGAGACAGATTCGAATCTGAGAGACAAAGTGGAGGAAGAGCATCGTATACGAAAGGTGGAGGTTCTGTCTTGGCTTCGGGCTCCATTGGAGATTGACGGAAGCTGAATCTGGGGTTTAGGGTTTCCACGCCGCCGTGGAGGATACAAAATCAAATAAATAAGAGAAATAAATAATGTGTCCGAACAGAAGAAGGAAACAATTGGGAGGGGGAAATAAATAAATATAATTAAATAAATAATGGTTTTCATTCTGCATAAAAACCCTCCGGCCAACGAGAAGATATTCAGATCTGTTTGGTTTGGTTCTATTGGATTTCACAAAATCACCCTTGTGTATATGCTATGCTTTGGTTCTGGTCGATTCAGATAATTTTATTGAAAGCGGTATAGAACCCAACTTTTTAATTTTGGTTTAGATTGGATGTTTTACCAAGTTAATTACACCTATTTCAAGGGAAAATAGGCATTTAACACCCCAAGTATTTGAAATCGGCAATTTTAATACTCAAGTATTGCTCGCGCATAATTATTCCCCATCTAATAGTTGACTGCACGAAATTAGGAACGAAATAGTCAACCGTTAACTGGTTAACGGAAAGATAACGGTTTCCGTCAACTTTTTAACGGTTGACTATTTCGTTCCTAATTTCATACAGTCAACTATTAGTTGGGGAATAATTCTGTGCAAGAAATACTTGAGTATTTAATTTGCCGAGTTGAAAATACTTGAGGAATTTAAAACCTCAATATTTTTTAAAAAATATATAATTTAAAAAAAAAATTCAAGTCAGATGTAATCAATATACGAGATTTTTACTTTTTAAAAAAGATTTTTGAGTTTTTACAATGACATGTACAATAATAAAAATAGTTATAGTTGCATTTTATTGTTGATGTATTTCATGTTTATAAAATAACTTAAAATGATTTTTTAAAATAATTAATTTACATAAAACATGATTTTTATTAAAATAACTAAACTAAAGGAAAACAATTAAACCAAACTGAAACCGATCCAAACCAAACTAATTATGGTTTACTTCAGATGGAAAATTTTGAGAATTGTCTTAACCAAACCAAAATAACCAAAGTTTCTACTCCTACTTTAAACAATCATATGTAGTTACATCTACTTTAGACTATCATATATTGTACATCATCAATGCAATGCAATACGTTATTTTATTTTATTTTCTTTCGTTCCTAATTTCGTGCAGTCAACTATTAGTTGGGGAATAATTCTGCACGAGCAATACTTGAATATTAAAACTGCCGATTTCAAATACTTGGGGAATTAAATGTGCATTTTCCCCCTATTTCAAAGAAAAATATAAAATATATTTGACTTGGCTTAATTTGCAATAAAGTTGTTTTATTTAACAAACAAAGCTAAAGGCATTTGAGAAATTTAAAATCAATTTGATTTTAATTAATTTTGTTTTCTTATTTGTTACTTCAATTTTTTTTTTGCAATTCTATTACAGTCAGTTTTGAAAATCAGAACGATAATCAAAACCGATAACTTTTTTAGATCATGGGTTAGTATGGTTTGACTAGGTTTGATTGAAGGGAAATTGGTTTAGATAGAGAAATAGCTCAAATTAGATATTTTATCAGCACGAACATAATAATCTTTAAAATATTTAAAGTAAATACATTATCAGTTAAAATAAAATTAAAATAAAATAAAGTTCATACATTCATAAACTTAAAAACACTAATGTTTTTGAAAATTTTCAGTAATAAATTAAATATTAAGTTTTTAACTTAGATCAAGTTTTTCAATATAATAAAATTATCTTTTATTGTGAAAATAAATTTGAAGACATTATATATGCATTAATATATACAATATATATACAATATTTATCTTTTAGAATTTCAAAAAAAAAATTAAATAAAATATAGTGTTGTTATATTTTTGAATCACACAACATAAACTAGTTTATACAAAGATGATTATCAAATCAATGATATTTATTTTTAATTTATGGTTCATTATATATTAACAAATATCTAACAATACTAAAAGGATGATACCAGATATAATTAATTAACACTTGAGGGAGAAGCCCTAGCTCTGACGGCGACTGTTTTGGAGATCAGGAACGAGATGGCGTCGAACGGATCTCTGGCGTAGATCAACGCTCTTCGGTGATAGTTCGACAAGAATCCGGCTAACCTTTGTTAGCTGGTGGCGCTCTACTTCACAGGAATCGACCTTTGTCGGTTTCTTCTTTGTCACGGCACTATTCATGTTTGCTTGATCGTTGTCTGGTGGTATATGTTCCCTGACGCTCGCTTCCCCTCTCTGATTTGGTCCCGGAGATAGATCGTCCTACGATCTCAAGGAGTCGACCCTTGTCGTCCTCCTTCTCTCTTACGTACGCCTTGGATAACAGTTTTCCTTCGTCTTCTCCCGGCGTCGATTGTGCTCGGTGCGACCACTGGTGATAGGAACTCCGGAGTTGACTCTGTTTGGTGATTTGGAACGGATACGGCCTTTTTCTTCCGAAGATTTCGAATAGTGATCATCCATCTCTTTGGCTTCATAAACGACTGTGAACCTTGTGAACGGATCATCATCTTAACTCGTCTGGATCTTCATCTTCTATGGGGCCAACGAGTCGGGTTAACACTGCTCATATGGCAGATGTTAAAGGGAAAGGTATTCTTTACGAGGATGATGATGAACCAATTAAACTTTCTGAGAATGATGATTCTTTCGTCATAAAGGAATTTCGTATGTCTCTCATCGGAAAGGTCATAAACCCTAAGAAGCAGGACGTTGAGAAGCTGGTACAAAAAATGCCGACTCAATGGGGTCTTCAAGATAGAATTACTGCGAATGATTTAGGGAATGGAAAGTTTCTTTTTAACTTTAGCTCTGAGGATGATCTGAATTCTGTTCTTCGGCAAGGCCCGTTTCATTACAACTATTGTATGTTTGTATTGGTGAGATGGGAGCCTATTGTCCATGATGACTATCCTTGGATCATCCCCTTTTGGGTCACGTTTGTTGGTATGCCTTTGCATCTATGGACGGATAGAAATTTGAGGAATATTGGTGGTCGTCTTGGACATGTGGACACTGTGGATCTATCGGAGGGGCGGCTACTAATCGATATTGACTCGCGAAAACCATTAAAATTCAAGAGGAAAGTTCAGAGTCCTGAGGGGGATGAAGTTACCATTGAGATTAAATATGACAAGCTTTTTAAGCACTGTACAACTTGTGGCCTTATGTCACACGAGAAGGGTTATTGCCCTTTAGCGATGAATAATTCTCGAGGTGCAGCAGAGAGAGCTCCTGTTTTTGACCGTGTCCAACTCCCCCAGATGTCTACAGATAGGCATCCAACGTAGGGGTATTCTCGCGCCACACATGATGGGCTAAAGGGAAGTGACAATGTTTCTGGCCGAATGGCATTACTTGGCTCATCTCGGATAGCAACGAGTGGTGGAAGCAGAGTTCACCAGTCCCGTGGTGTTGATTCACGTCATAGAAATGATACGAGAACCGGTGATCGGAGGGCTTTTGATTCGAGATTGGAAGGAGTTACTGATCACAGCAAACATCACCCTAACAGGGTAATGCGGAGAAGATATGAAAGGCATGACTCCTCGAAATACACTAGCTTCCGCCATGGAAAAGGTCCTTATGATCGTGATACTACATCGGCTTGGCGTGTCAAAAGGAGAGATCAGGAAGGTAATGCCTCTCCTATGGAACGTGGTACAGCTAGAGGTGATTCGGTGGTTCCTTCGAACCATGATGCAGCTAGAGTTGATATGGAGAAACAAAGTTCGAACACTCAACTCAACAGTCAGGTTATTACTTCGGGCGACTTGGGTCAGAGTAAGCGGCTGGCGAGTACCATAGTATCGCCTGAATTAAGATTAACTATGGAGGGTAATGTTACACTGAGGAACAAGAGCGTCAAAAAGCCACTTACATTTGCCGCACACGAGTACCCGCCTGAGGATGATGAGAGACAAGTCATTGGGGCTCCATCGGACATGGAGGTACAACATGAGGATGGAGTTGATGAGCAGTTGCTGGCTGGTGATGATCTATTTGATGAGGAATTAAAGGATTTGGAGGTTAAGTCACACTCTCCTGAAGCTCTACCTCCACGACGCAGTGATCATGCTTCAAATGGAAAAAAAAACGGCTAGGAGCAGTAGCAGGATAAACCCATCGCTGGGGAATCAGACATCGAAACCGGAGTACCTCCGTCGAGGTTCTCCAAGACTCAGAGCACACATGTCCTCATCTCACAGAGCCGGTGCAAGTAAGAAGCCTAGGCGTTCGCACCATAGAGTTAAAAAGTCGGATGAGGCGACAAACAAGGGTGAGGGTTTGATGGGTTCCCATAATCCATCCCCCCTTCATCAATGAGGACAATCAGTTGGAATTGTCGAGGGATAGGGAACGACCTCACAGTTTAACGCCTTACGGAGATGTGTCAGAAGCATCACCCAGGATTTGTGTTCCTCTCTGAGACGAAGAATAGGAGGCTGCTGTTGCAAGACATTCAGGCCGACTTAGGATTGGATCGCTTGTTTACCGTTGAGCCACTTGGCCTCAGCAGAGGTTTAGCTTTATTTTTTATGGATGAATTTCAAGTTAATGTACTTTTTTCAAATAACCGAATGATTGACATTGAGGCAGTCATTGATGGAATAAAATTCTACATGACATTTGTTTATGGGGATCCTGTACTTGAGCAAAGAGAGTTAGTATGGGAGCATCTTACGCGCTTCTCAACAACAAGAAATGGACCTTGGTTCATGATAGGAGATTTTAACGAAATTACATGTCATGCAGAGAAGGAAGGAGGCAGACAACGCCCTGATGGCTCATTTCTGACCTTTAGACAAATGTTAAGTGACTGTGCTATGCTAGAATTTCCGTATTCAGGGAACATGCTATCTTGGGTTGGAAATAGAGCAGGGAGGACGACAGTTAGATGCCGACTTGATAGGGCTGTTGGGAATGAAAACTGGCATGAAAAATTCCCCCATTCAAAGTGAAGTATATGAGACTCTGGGGATCGGATCATCGTCCGATCCTAGCTGATATTCTGAGGAAGAAACCTAGGAGATCAACGAATTTCAAATTTGATAAGAGATGGTTAGATAATGAGGAGCTTAGGCAAGTTATTCTTGAGGGATGGAAGTCACCAGACCTCCCACCAGACGCAAGTATAATGGAGCACATTGCAAGCTGCAGGCGAGCAATAAGTGAATGGAAAAGACAGTATAATCTGAACTCTGAGAAAACAGTGGAGGAGCTAAAGGAAAAGGTGGATCGCTTATCCTCAAATGATGATGCCACTACTGAGGAGATCGCGGCAGCTATTAAGGAACTATCTGACGCTCTTAAGGTGGAGGAGATGTTCTGGAAACAGAAGTGTCGGGTTTTTTGGTTGAGAGAAGGGGATAGGAATACTAAATTTTTTCATGCCCTTACGAAGCAAAGGAGAGCAAGGAATAGGATTACCCAACTACTGGATGAAGATGGAAATGTTGTGGAGGATGAGGAAGGGTTGGTAGCCATTGCTACAAATTATTTTAGACACATCTTTCAATCTTCAAATCCTGAGGCAATAGAGGAAGCACTCTCTGAAGTATCTACAACAATTACCCCAACAGATAATGCGACTTTAACAGCCCCGGTCACTGAGTGGGAGGTTAAACTAGCTCTATTTGCGATGCACCCAGAGAAAGCTCCAGGACCGGATGGTATGACGGCGTTGTTCTATCAGAAATTCTGGGATATTGTAAAGGATGATCTAACTCTTATGGTTAATCAATTCCTTTTCGACGGTACGGTGCCATCTGGTCTGAATGACACCAATATATGTCTCATTCCAAAAGTGGAGAAGCCAAATCAGATGAGTCAGTTACGTCCTATTAGTTTATGCAATGTTAGCTACAAGATTATCTCTAAGGTCTTATGCCAGAGATTAAAGAAGTTCCTTCCAGATAGGATCTTAGAGACCCAGTCAGCCTTTGTTGCTGGGAGACAGATATCTGATAATATTATGATAGCTCAGGAGTTGTTCCATGCTTTAAGGACAAAACCGAGTGGCCGAAACAAGAGGATGGCTATCAAAACAGATATGAGCAAGGCCTATGATAGAATGGAATGGTCCTTCATTGAGGCAACCATGAGGAAAATGGGCTTTTCTGAAGTTTGGATAACTATGATAATGAGATGCGTAACTTCAGTAAAATATAAAGTCCTTATGAATGGATAACCAAGAGGGAATATTTTCTGCACGGAAGCGCTCGTTAGCCTTCTAAATCACGCAGAGAATCAAGGGAAGATAACGGGGATGCGCATTACGCGTGCGTGTCCCTCGGTATCTCACCTTCTTTTTGCTGATGATAGTCTGTTTTTCTGTAAGGCGGAGCCCCGTGAATGTGAAGAAGTAATGAAAGTGGTCACGATATATGGACAAGCTTCAGGACAATGCATCAATTTTGAGAAGTCGTCTTTACTCTTTGGTAAAAGAATTGGACAGGAGGTGAGACAAGAGATAAAAGACACACTTGGGATCCAAAATGAAGGAGGAATGGGGTCATATCTGGGTATACCAGAGGACATCAGTGGGTCCAAATGTAAGCTCTTTGTTTTCCTTAAGGACAAGCTGAGAAATAGAGTGAATGGATGGACTGGGAGATGGCTCTATAAAGGTGGGAAAGAAGTTATGATAAAATCAATCATGCTTGCTCTTCCGACGTATGTAATGTCTTGTTTCCTTCTCCCATTGGAGATCTGCGAGAATCTAGCTAGTGCCATTGCACAATTCTGGTGGAGCTCAAACCCGCCTAAGAGGGGTATTCACTGGTCGACATGAGACAAATTATGCTTACCCAAAGATGAAGGCGGTATTGGTTTTAGGATGATTCACGAGTTTAACCTGGCGCTACTGGCAAAACAATTATGGAGACTGGTACAAAACCCAGACTTGCTGGTTGCTCGCGTCTTGAGAGGTCGATATTACAGATTGAGTACGCCTTTGCGTCAAATCAATACAAGTAGCCCCTCATATGTGTGGACAAGCATATCGGCCGGAAGAGAATTGCTACTATTAGGAATTAGACAAAAGATTCATTTGGGGTATGAGGTTAAAGCTTGGGAGGATCCTTGGATTCCTTGACAACCACTGTTCTCGATGTGGGGAGCCAGAGGAGACGATCACACATGCAGGATTTGAATGTCCACCTGCTCTACAGGTTTGGGCGCTATCATATATGCCTACCAATCCTGCTACGTTTCCAGGCCAAAGTACGTACGCGAATATGGATTACCTATTCTGGAGGAAGAATGCAATAATGGAACCAGAATTGGATAGGGATCCTTATTCTTGGCTAATCTGATACATTTGGAAGGCTAGGAATGATAAGTTATTCCGAGGCATTGATAGGGACCCATTGGAAGTGGCGCGGTATGCAGAGAGCGAATGCCAAGCATGGTTCCAAGCAAATGAGCAAGAAGTACCGTCTCCTCTTGGGGATGGAATAGGTGAAGACCAGGCCTTAAACTTGGGAAATATCTGCATGGTGGATGGATCTTGGACTTCAACGGACTATTTTAGTGGATGAGGGTGGGTTTTGACTGATAATTCTGGAAATAGCTAGTTACTGGGGGTGCGTAATTTTGATCGAGTGGAGTCGGCGTTGCATTCAGAATTGGAAGCACTGCGGTGGGCAATGGAGAACATGCTTCAACATTCGCCATGTCAGAGCTTTGGAACTGATTGCAAGGAGATGATTGAAATGCTCAGGAATCCTCAGGCATGGCCTAGCTTCTCAACAGAGTTGGAAAAATTGATGACACTGAAGATCTGCTTTCCAGATTTCAAGATTTTTTATATTCCCAGACTCCAGAATGGCGCTTCTGATTCTTTAGCTAAATTAGCTAGATCCTTTTATCGTAAGCTTGTATACGTTGGTTGTTCTGTTCCGGTCTGGTTACCCAGACCACCTCATGTCGCTTGAGTAATAGAACAGCCGTTTGATGTCAAAAAAAAAAAAAAGGATGATACCAGCATCAGTTAAGCCATCCACGTCAGCTCCAAAAATCGTCCAATAGGAGTGGTGCTTTCCGCCACGTAACAGACATAATTGAGCAATGTTGCGCTTCTGTTTTTCATCTATGTTGTTTTATTTTGTGGGCCCACTAAGTTTAGATCTAGTCTTTTTATCTTTCTCTGATTCCTCAACTTAAATATCTATGTTACTGACCATCCTCTTCTATCAGTACCCTCTTAATATCTTCGTTTCATCTCTTTCTCTATCTCCTTATTTAAGCTACTGTATCTTAAATTCCTTATGTTCAAAACCGAGACGCACATATCTATAAGCCGAATCCATGGCGATGAAATCCAACGGCAAATCACATATCTTTGTATTCAGATCCATTATGTTGACAACTCATGTGGTTCTTGGAAAGGGTCTGATGGCTTGGAAAAGAGCTGCGGCAAGAGCTGAGCCGTGCAGATCTAATGGATTTTGATAGTGATGGAAAGGGTGTTAACAAGAATAAAGAAGAGATAATGTGTGTGCGATTCAAAAAATTGTTTAAGATCATGGTCTGACGAGTATGAAAAAGATGGTGTGGACATAAAAAATTTTATGCTGCAGCAGGCAGTTGATTAGACAATGTCAAGAAGAAAAATATGTCTTTCTCTCATTATGCCCATGGATCCATATTCATGCTTATGTCAATTGGTGGAGTGGTTGGAGTTACCCAGATGAATGGCTGCCCCAAAACGGTAGTCACTTTGTCTTCTCGCTTATGTTCTCAATATCTGTTGTGGTAATTGCTTGCCCTTGTACACTGGGATTGGCAACACCAACCGCTGTTATGGTGGCAACATGAGTTGGAGCAACCAATGGTGTTTTGATCAAAGGAGGTGATGCATTGGAGAAATCTCACAAAGTGAAATAAGTAATCTTTAACAAAACAGGCACCTTAACTCAAGGAAAAGCTACCGTGACAACCACAAAAGTCTTCTCAGAGATGGAACGTGGAGAGTTTCTCACGCTTGTTGCTTCCGCAGAGGTAAACTAAATCTTCTTCCTTCAACTTCTTAGATTGTTTGTGATATATAAACGGTAACTAAAGATATTAACAGTGTGTCTTAATCTCCTTAGGCTAGCAATGAACACCCATTGGCAAAAGCTATAGTTGAGTACGCTCGGCATTTCCATTTCTTTGATGAATCTACCGAGGACGGTGAAACAAAGAACAAAGTCTCTCAAAATGTTGGATGGTTACTCGATATTTCGGACTTCTCTGCTCTTCCGGGGAAAGGCATCTAGTGCTTAGTCAACAACATGCTGATTCTGGTTGAGTTTAAAAGTCCATAACATTTTATATCAACTTTCTTGCTTATGGTTCTGTGTTCGTCAACTGAAAGAAAGTTTCTTCTGTTCTTTTTCATCATCAGGTGGGAAACCGTAAACTTATGTCAGAAAACTCCATTACCATTCCAGACCACAAAGAGAATTTTATCGAGGAGCTTGAAGAAAGCGCAAAGACAGGAGTCATTGTAGTCTATAACGGTGAATTATTTGGTGTCATGGGAGTTGCTGATCCACTAAAGAGAGAAGCTGTTGTAGTCGTGGAAGGTCTCCTTAGAATTGGTGTTCGACGTATAATGATTACAAGTGATAACTGGAGAACAACAAGAGCAGTCGCCAAAGAGGTAAAAGAAAACATTTGTGGTGGGTTCCGGTTTAGATATTCTGGTTCTATATGTTGGTTTGGTTTTGCATGAGTGCAAGTTGGTATTGAAGATGTGAGATCTGAAGTAATGCCAGCAGAAAAATCTGAAGTGATTCATTCACTGCAAAAAGATGGAAGCACAGTGGCCATGGTTGGAGATGGAATCAATGACTCGCCAGCTCTAGCCGCTGCTGACGTGGGAATGGCCATTGGTGCAGGGACTCATGTAGCAATAGAAGCAGCTGATTACGTTCTGATGAGAAACAACTTAGAAGATGTTATTACAGCCATTGATCTCTCTCGCAAAACCTTAACATGAATCAGGTTAAACTACGTTTTCGCCATGGCTTACAACGTGCTGTCGATACCGATAGCAGTGGGAGTATTCTTCCCGATCCTGAGGGTACAACTGTCCCCGTTTAAAATGTTTAAGAAATATGTTTGGTATTGAGAGATTGATGAGAGATTAAGATGTCTAAGTATGAAGGTTTAGAGTAACCATGATGAATAAGAGAGAGAGAGACTGAAATTCGTGAATATCATTAAGAGAGAGAGGTTACAATTGCTCTATAGAAAGACATAAGAGATCCTGATAAGCTTTTGGTCACTATTACAAGCATGTGGAGTCAACAAGGAGTGGTGCGCCTCTTTTGAAATGAATGGACTGGATTACTTGCATGCTTGATACCAAAGGTATCTTAGACCAGATACCTTCACCTTTCCAGCCTGTCCAAAGCACAAGTTGGCGAGCCTAACCTTATCCATAAACGGTCTGATCTACATCAGACCTTCCCTCCCATTTAGAGTCTTCAACACCTTTAGTTCCCTCCCTTCCATTTAGAGACTTCAACACCCTTTTCTACATGACCACATGCCTTCTATGCCACGGTATCTAATGTGTACGGACAAGCCATGTTCGTACACCTTTCACCCTAACTTCGCACATAGACCAAATGCTCCCAAACTATCCTAATCTCTTCATACTATCTTGTAACCTCAATCTCATATAATACACTCCTCATTTCAACACTCCTCCTCAAGCTTGACCATGTGGAACAAGTCGAGCTTGGAGTACCATGAGGTCTTTCTTATTAAAAACCTTACCAAAAAAAATCTATTTGAGACAAAACTTCAGCAAGTAAAATAGTAAAGGCCCCATGGCGAGGGGATTAGCTGGGTTGAGGAGTGAGGTCAGTGAGTCCTAACCTGATGTGTATGGACTCCATTGTATGGACTCCATTGTCTTCTGTTACTATAGTTATTTTTGTTTTTCCTTGGTTGAATGAAAAAAGGACAAAATACTTGGAACATACTGCACCGATATTAATCTTGAAGTTAAGACATGTTCTTCTTCTTGCTGTTTGTCATAATCTTCGAAGTCATTAGCTTCCTATTAATTGTGCAAACTGGATTACCAAATATCTTACCTCAACTCATATATAACTAAATAAAATTTTAAGCTGAATAGTACACTTAGGATTTTGAAATTTGAAAATTTATCACATTCATAAATAATAGGGAAAATTCCATATAAATACCCCGACTAAATTCTATTAAGCTTTTTAATACCCAAACTTTTTCACTACCCAGTTTAATACCTCAACTAATTATTCTGCCCATTTTAATACACCAACTTTTATAATTGTATCTATTTTAATACTCAAAATTTGTTTATTTTTAATTAACAGTACTAATAAATTTCAAACGAAATTTTGAAAAATCTCCAAAATCTAAGAAAAAATATTTAAATTTTCTAAGTTTATTTGAAGATTTAAGAAATAAGGTAAACAAACTCTGTAGAAAATTTAATGTTTTAAAAAAAAAGTTTTTGAAGGAAAAAAAATAATTTACTTTTTATTTCAAAAAAACAAACTAAATTCAATATATAAAACTTAAAAAACTTATTACAAAACTTAAGATTATAAAAAAATTTATTTAATTTCGTTACTCAAACATATAATAAAATTAATTTTTTTTGTGAAGTTTAGACATTTTTAAAATTTCATTGGAAACTTATTAGTATTGTTAATTAAAATAAACAAAGTTGAGTATTAAAATGGATACAGCTATGAAAGTTGATGTATTAAAGTGGGCAGAATAATTAGTTGAGGTTTTAAACTGGGTAGTGAAAAAGTTTGGGTATTAAAAAACTTAGTAGAATTTAGTTGGGGTATTTATATGGAATTTTCCCTAAATAATACTACTTATAAAATATAGAAGGATATACATGTTTAACCATTTGCCAGTATACTATGCATTTCTCTATTAATAAATCAGAAATAATGAAGTGAAAAACCCAAAATTGTTTTAGCACTTCGTTGTTATGTTGGGGTTAACAACAACGTGAACTTTGATTAAAAAAAGATTGCTAACCAAAAAAGTTAAAATAGAAGCGTTGATTAGTTTTACCTTTTTCTATTGGTGTTACAAAAAAAAATTATTCTGTTTATGTAACATTCAAGTATATCTTTTCGAAAACAAGTTAACCTTGCTAAACTCTCACTAAAGAGAAAATATTATGAGAATGAATTTCCAATTATTATTCATTGTGTATATGTATTTCACTATTTTCAAACATATAATTTTAAATAAATGAAATTTCAAAAAAAAAATAACAAAGAAATATTATATTAGTTAACCATATAAATTATATTTTAAAACTAATCAAAATAATGCAGTGAAATTAGTAACGGCCATAACTCTGGTAAGAAGATTTTAATTCAACAAATATAGAGAAACTATTTGAAGTTTTAAATGAAATAAAAAATACAAAGTTATACATCCCATATTTGAAGTCATTAGAGGTAACAATAGAAAAAAGATAACAAGAAACTATATTACTCTTCTTTAGTGTGTTAATTATTAAATTAATTTTTCTTTTCGGTAGAATTATTTATAATATGAAAAGATATGTTATATAGAGTAAGAAAATCATCTTTTTAACTTATTGAAAGAAACAAATTAAAATGATAGGGTTGTTAAGTTAAAATTTATTTAAAGACAACTAATAGTTCTTTATGCAAAATTAATATAAGCTCAAGAAAAACAACTTATATACTAATACAAGGATAATTTAACGAATTTAAAATACACAAACTGCGCGTAGGGAGCCGTTATTTACCATATATATGGTGTAAATTTTGTCAGATTTAAAAATATACAGATACTAGATGATAACCCGCACACATGCGCGGGTGAAATTTTATACTAATATTTACTCATTAAATGGTTTTTAACATTCTGTAATACTGCAGTATTTATCGATTATGAAACAATGAATACAAATATTGGTATCTTAAATCATCATAGGTCTGGACGTTTGAGACTTCGTCGGTTTTGATATGATTGTGACGTATTTTCAGATTTTGGTATTATTCTCATATATCCTATTTAAATTTTACTAATTATCGGATTGGATTCGATTTGATCTTCTCAATTCAGTTTGGATTGGATTGTAACCAATATCTGAAATCATCCCAAAAATATTTTTTAAACATTAAAAGTTGACAAAAAATTCAAAATATTTAAATTATTAATAAATCTAATTTAAAATTAGTTAAATTATTTAAACAAACTAAAATATATTAAAAAAGCAAATAAAAAAACTACAAAAATCTTTCGAATACTATAATTTGTATCTACTAACCTCAAACTTTTTCACTGAAATTTTTAAATTAACATATTTATAATATGAATATCTACTAATGATACTTCATATTCGTACGATTTATGATAATTTGTATCTTATTTGGAAAAAAAAACAAAGTTAAACCATTGATCATAAAATTTTCAATGTGGGATTTTACTATTTTTAGTTATTTATGGTCGTTTTAAAAAATTAAAAATATAATCTGTAAGAAAAAAAATTAATTTTTTACTATATATATAATGTGATTGTTTAATTTATTTTAATAATTTAAAATTAAACAAAAAAAGAGAGAACACAAAAATATGTATTATTCATAATCATTAATTACATATATATGTTAATCATATTTGGTAATTCCGTAGCTTTTATTTAAGGAAAGAAAATATATTGTCTTATACTTAGCAGAGTTGGTCCCTTAAAAATGTTTATATATTATAGTCCTAAATACAAGAAATTAAATGTTACATTATTTCATTCTTAGCAAAGTTGGTTCATTAAAAAATTAAGGCTGAGATGCTCTGTGAGCTTGACACGTAAGCATGCTCTCTAAGGTTGTGCATTTATGAATGCTTCAGGATTAATATATAGGAGATTATCTTCTAAAACATATAAATGTGAAAACAAAAAAAAATATAATACATTATGATCAGTACCTCTTATTTATCGGAAAGATAATGCTCTTTCATGTGATACAATTTTACTTTGACAACACCAGGGGCGTCCCTGTAGATATAGGGGCCCTACACACACAAAAATTAGGGGCCTAGTTATCAATAGATTTATTTATTTTTAGATTTTTTTTTGTTTTTATCATTGGCATATTTACTATAAACTGCTTTTTAGTTTAACTGATATAATTATTATTTTTAATTTTACATAACAGTAAATATAAAAATTTATTAATGAAATTTTAAAAATTGGTGACCCTTAAAAATGAGGCCCTAGGCCCATGTTTCATGGTGCTGTGCCAATGGACGCTCCTGGACAACACAATAAAAATATTAGAGACTTCAGAAGCAATGATAAAAGTCAAGTTTAGCGCATGAATTCGAGCAAAACAACGCCAAGTTCAGAGGATGATCTTCAAAAAAAACTTAACGAAAATCAATATTTTACCTTCTTCTGAATGGTTTATGTATTTTGAACTTGGTTTGCGTATTGGCAAATATATAAAACACAATCTTACTATTTAGAAAAGGCCAAAATAAAGTAGCATACAACATTTAAACAACCAAAACTAAATCATGTCATCCCCACCTCTTATACTATATGTTTGACGTTAAAGAATTTGTAAAATTTAAAGGCCAATTATCTGTGCATATCCCGAAAAACGAACTAGTAATTATTAATTAATGTTAATAAAACCTTTATAACATAATATAAATTATTTTTATATAATGATAATGAATAAATCAAGAAAATTTGATATTAATTAATGGTTAATTATATATTAATTTTCTTGTAGTTTTTGGTTAACTAATATACATATATTTAGATAATGATAATCATCCAATAAATGAATTTTTTTTTAATTAAGGTTAATTATATATTACTTTGTTTTTGGTTTATAGTTATTATATATTAATAACCTAATTATACATTAAGAGTAATAGTTAGTCATTAGTCGAAATCATAAAAACATGATAAATTAATAAAACTACCTAAAATTATAGAAAACATGAAAAATCAACAATTTTACTTCTCAAATAATAATATAGATTAACTATCTAACCAAAACAAAAAATACAACCACTATTATTACAATATATATTATATTACTCTTGACAACCGGCTAAAAGATCAAACATCTTTTTCTTCGCTTACCAAATCCGTAATATATATCTTGTGTATTTATCTACACTGTTTTCTTTTAACTACCACTCCTTCTTCTGGAATAAACATCCCACCTCTTCTGTAATTACTATGAGATCTTCTACAGCTAAATTCATTACTCAACCACAACCATAATAGCTACCATAACCATCAGAAAATGTGTAACATCTCCTATATATTTTGTTTCCGCTACTACAAATATCACTATCACAACCAATAATAAAATTAAGGTCTATACCATGTGTCAATTTTATACATATATGGTATAGTTTTAGACCTCTTAATAATTACTTTAATATATACTATACTATTTAGATATATATATATATATACTATAGTATGTGTATATTTTGATATTTGAGTTATGTTTATATTTCCTTTTAGAATTTACTGATTAGTGTTTTAGATTTAGTTTACAGAAGGTTTCGGTTGAGGTTGGAGTAAATATTACATCATTCCCTATAATTCTATATATTTCAAAGTTTGAACAATATGAACTATGATATTTTGTTTATTACTATTCTATTTTGTATATTTTTACTTTTGGATTTAGGGTTTAGATTTCTTTTTAGAATTTAGTGATTATGTACTATATTGCTAAATGTCCACCATAAAAATTATATTGTATGCTATTTATTAGTTTTATACATATATAACATAATATTTTAAAATTTCATTAATATTAACTATATCATTTAGTATGTTCTATTCTATTTACTCTCTTTATTTTCTTCCGTAACATTATCTCTTTCTTCAATCATCACAGTTATAACATGACCACCATTGGAGGCATAGTAATATTTGTATGAATGAACATGTAAACACATTATACTGTTTAATATAAGTTGATATTTGATACTTTTATTGTATATACTATTCTATTTAGTTTATTCCATATCATTCGGTTTGTTCTGTCGTATTCATTCTGTTGTCGACATGGTAATTAATACCGCTGTACATTATTATGTTGATGCTTCTTCTTTTGTGTAACTGGAAACCGGCTTAAAAGAAAGATAAACCAGGACAAATGCTATGACATCTAATTATGTCAAAATCAATATTATATTCTTAATTTTATCTCAAAATTAAACTATTTCACAAATTAACCCTTAATTGAATTCAACCGCAATTAATTTAATTTTTTATGGGATGAAAAAAATTGTATCCACACATCTACAATTTTATAAAGATAACTAGGATATGACATGCGTCTTGTGAAGGTGAGTGTATGTAATTAATATATAAAATTTTAGTATTCACAAATTGAAATTTACATATGATTGTTTTTATATATATTTGGAATTTTAGAGTTTTTATATAATTATATATATGTAGAATCAGAAACAATTGTAATTAGAACTGTAGATCAAAACTTAGAATTTAATGGGTTCAGTTCATATATCTTTTCATTTTTCAAAGTTCGAGTGATGGAAAATAAATGGAGTGTCAGAGGACTTAATTGGTAGAACATTATCAAGTTCCCTAGTGCTTTCTTAAGAAGCAGTTGGTAGAATATTTTTATTTAGAATATATAAAATTTCAAAACTAATTTAATAGAATTTAATTATTTGTCTAATAATATCAGAAAATTATATTTTTAAAAAAAATTAACAAAAAAATAGAGAAAAAATTAAGTTAAATTTAAAATTGTAATTATGTTTAAATTAATATTATTTATTCATACGATATGCGATATATATATATATATATATATATATATTAACATAAACACCTATTAAAATAAAATTATTTATTCATATGATTTATAATCATTGTAATTTATTATAAAAATTAGACCTTGATCACAAAAGTTTATGTGAGATTTTTAACAGTTTTAGTAATTTATACTCATTTTGAAAATTTCAAAATACAATATATATAAAAAAATCTAAATTTTTATTATATGATTAGTGTAGTTGTATAATTTATTTTAATAATAAAAATTAAACAAAATGATATAAAGTATATATATTGTTAACAAATCTGTATTATTTAAAATCATTAATAGTCATATATATCTAATCGCATTAGGTAATTGCGTAGGTTTTATTTAAGGAAAGAATATTAGAAGATTTAGTTTGATATATTATTTAGTTTGATATGTCTTATATGAGACCAACAGACCATGTTTTAAAACTATGCTTTATATAAGATGTTCTAGAATTCTTTTAAATTGAAATAGAAGACATGGAAAGGTGCCACGTAGGATGAAGTTGTTTTTTAATTAATACAAACTTAAGATTACAATTTTTCAAATATTTCTCAATTAATATATAGGGGATTGAGTTGTTACAAAAAAGTAAGTTAATAGAAATAATAATCATGGAACGGAATTTAAATACAAACTAAGTGAGATGTTAATACAGAATTAAAAGTTTAAGTTTAAAAGATTAATAACCATCACAAAAATTCAGAAAAGTATATATAATAAAAATTGTAAAGGGTTTTATTTATTTATAGAAGGGTTTAAAAACACTGCTTATAGTTATAGATAAAGCCTTAGGTTAAACTTCAAGAGATACTGAGATGCTGAGATTTTCGTCGGTATAATTAGTTTGGTTTATACTTATCAAACAGAAAAGAAACTGTTGGCGTAGGCAAATATGCAAGCTTGTTATACATGTTTCATTGAGACATCTCGGAGCTAAAGAGGACCTTATGTTTTCTACTGAAAATACTCCTACAAACTTATATTCCTCTAAACCAATCCTCAGAAAACCGCGAACCAACTTTAACTTAACGAGTATATATATATCATTCTCTTCTCACTGGCAGTGAAGACGATCTCGAAAGTGGCTCCATAGGTTCTGTTCTTAGATCAGGGGTCGTTGCTGAAGAAATGGAGACACATGATCGAAGAAGAGGCGTTCCAACTCTACTTGAAGATTCATTAGGTACAGAAGAAGAAGAAGCATTACGAGGTTGGACTGGCTGTAACTCAAGCTCAATACCTCTCTGTTGTTGTTGTTGTGGATAAGTTTCAACAACATCAAGCACTTGATGGTCATATTCTTCAATAGATGCAACTGTGCTTGTTTCTGTTCTAACAGTGGAATCATCGCCGTAATAACCATGTCTTCTTTTCTTTCTTGTCGCTTTTCCCCAACCTTGAATCGTGTCTCTTATCCTCTGAGGTATCAGAGCCGCTTTATAGTTCGTTCCCATCTAGGAATCAATCAGATGAACCTATCCATTAGGAAACAATCAAAAGTACTCGAAAGCTTCCATGGAGTTTCTGAAGTACCTGAGCGACCAATGCGTACAGTGGTAGTGTACTGTAGCTGCATAGAAACTGTCCAGCAAAACTGCAAAGAGAAGCTCAATTACTTTAATACATATTCACAACAGCTTATAGGCTACTAGGGGAAGAAAAAATAGTTTCATTACCCTAAAGTTAGTCGGAAGTAGACAAGGAGATGATTCTTTAGGAAGCAAGAGTTGTAACCGAACTGCCACTGAAGAAAAATCAAGAACGAATGTCTTGTAAGTTCGAAAGCAAAGCTTGCAAAAGATTAATTTCATTATATGGTTCATATATCATACCCAGAACCAGAAGAATGAAGCCAGTTCAAAAGAATTCTGTTGGAGAAGGGAAAGCAATTAGCTGCAAGCGTTATCAAGACGCTGACCAAGAGACCTAGGGCTGTTAAGGAAAGATATTGCAAACCTGGAATAGAATGAAGTGGATAAGGGAGAGGAGAAGTTCTGGTTTATTGAACCAAAAGAGTTCATCTCTAGGTCTCAGCTTAACTCCGGAAGGATATTCTGTTAAACCAGCATTCTCCAATGCCAAAGTTGCTATTACATGTTGCAGCTTGGTACCAACCAGAAGTACTAGCTGGAAACAAATGTGACGGTTCAAAACAAAATGAGGGAATGCTGAAATTAGATGAAAATGTAGTTCTTACAGTGACAGGTATGATTGCTATCCAGAAGTAAAGATTTGATCCTGCAGTATCAAGAGGCAAATATTTTAACATTCAAATCATATAATATGAAGATTTATCACTACTGGAATAAAGAAAACAGAAGATGATCTCATCTTTATTTTGATTTAATTTAGTCAAACCTTTTATGTTAAAGAGCATGAAAGCAACTACGAACCCCCAAAGCGGCCCACTGCAGAAGATCAATGAGTCAAAACGATTCAGCTAATAATTAATACCAATATCATCTGTTATAGACAAAGTAGCGTAGTGAAATAGTTAAAAACAAGAGATCTTTGAACTTGATAGATATAAAGCTTAAGTTGGATATATCACAGTATGTATTTACAAGATAAGGCAAGCTAACCTTACACCAACGATTCTCTGGAACTCTTCCTCCATAGATCGAATCATGTAGCTGTGAAAATCGTACTTTAATGTGAGGTGGTGATTCTGCCCATAAAAGAGAGAAAAAGGGACACAACACCAATTAGTTATATATATATATATAGTGGTAGCGATATTGTCACTCGTACATGATTGAAAACAAGAGTGGAAAAGCAAACATTCATATGGCTATAAGAGTATCACCCACCACAATGAATCCTTTCCGGAGAGTAAGATAGTCAGAACGAACAACAGAATGTCCGAATTGCCTGAAGAAACATGTCTGCAAACATAACAACCGAAGACATCTCAGTCTATTTCAAGCAATACCTACTCCATGAGTTCCAACAACTATCAATTTATCTTGGTGAACATATATCATTCTGAAAGAGTTAGCTATAGTCTTTTGGTTGATTCCAATCATTGATTGTGAAGAAACAAGAGAAGAAAATCTTTTGATCTAAACAATGACTACATATTTAAAAAAATTCTTCATGTTATCTAGAGAAAGGAGGTTGAAATGTACCACCCATATAAGCAATCTATTCTTGGCCAGAGGAGCAGAAGTATGATACTGAACAAAAGTTGTTTGCCTTCTTAATACTTTTTCCCTTGTCACCGCTGCCTCAAAAAGAAAAAAAAAAAACAAATCATCAATCTTTTCCCCAAGTGAGACATGAACATTGAATAATCAAAGCCTTAACCACATGAACGAGCAAGCAAACAATACATAATGCTAAAGAAACCTGTTAACATCACTTATCATAATGTCACTGTCACTATAAATTAGCGGAACTTTTGATTGTATAATGGAGCAGACTTAATATTTCGTGCTCACCTGTTAAGCAATCATGTCGATCCATGCGAGCTACATCTTCCCAGATCCTCCAACTATGAATCTGTATAAGAGATGCATGCCAATCAAACATTTTGAAAACAGAGATTCTTCCAAGATTAAACACCCTGAATTGCTAAATTTTGGACAAAGCCAGAAGAGGAGTTCATCTGAAGAAGAGATACTACCTTGACGATGGCAAGGAGCATGGTCAAACAGCTGTAAGTAACATGTGTAACCGCCATTATAAAGATGAAACGATGCAGCTGTTCAAGGCCTTCATATGAAACAAACGGCTCATGCCCCTGCAAGATTGAATGTAACCCCAAGAAATGACCAGCATATTCTCAAAATGCTATTATAAGCCATTTAAGTATACCTCGCTGCAAGTAGCATGGTGAATGCTCTCCTCCAGCCTTCTTCTCCTAAAGATGCTGAGAAAGAATGATTTGGTCAAAAGATTCCTCTGGACAGAGGATTCGTTCTCAAGTTCTTCTTTAATCTCGGATCTTGTACAAGGAACGAATCTGGCGTTGTAGAAACTTGAAGGGACACATATGTTGGCTATAGTGCTAGATGTAGCTGTCAGAAGAAGTGAAATGAAGCCAAGCAGCATCAACTCTGCCAAAAAAATGAAATGGAAAATAAAAATATTTATTAGGAAAACAAACACACAAAAAAAAAAGGTTTCATTTTTGGTGAATCAAAAGAAAACCTTCTTTCATCTTCTCTAAAGCAGCAAACAGAGGTTTCCTCTTTGTCTTCCTCAACCACTATGCCAAGAAGAAAGAAGCAATTTAGAAAATGGTTGAAGATGATGGAATCCAAAAATGGAGGCTACTCACAGAGCTAAGGCGATAGATGGATCGTTCAACGATGAGAGAAACAAGGACGAAGACAGACAAGACCAGAGCAACAGACCAAGTAGGAGATAAAGCCAAGGATCTCTCATCTGATTCTACTTCGTTTTCTTCTCCTTCTCCCATTTTGATTTTTTTGGAACAAGGCAACCTTAGAAAAATGGAAACTTTGGGAAACGTTACTTAACCCAAACAAACAAGATCACATTCCTTTGATTCTACAAGTTTAAAATCATAACTTCTAATAGACCCGTCGAGCTCCCTCGGGGTGATTTAAGTAACAAGCGATCGAAACCAAGTAAATTTGAAATCCTGTGGTGAGATTTGTAGACTTCGGTAAAGTCCCAGAAAATGAATCAATCAATTATTCAGGGGCAGAAGCGTCGTTAGAGAGGGATGTTTTGCTAATAAAAAGTTGAATGAATATGCATTTTGATTATAGAAAAATATAATTAATTTTGTGGAGTAGAAAACAAAAGCTGTATTCAGGTCACAACTGGTTGACTTCATGTGCAGTCATGGTTTGTTGTGCTACGTAGATTTGTGTTTTGTAAGCCGACCAACGGAAAATAATAATAAATGTTGACAAGAAAAGGAGGAAAAGCAGAGCGAGGAAGATTCTGACAGGTACCCGAAACGACCTTCTTTCCTCACATGATAAGATACTCTTCTCGCTTTTCACTCTTATGAGTCCTACTTCCTTTTTCAGGTTCCACTTTTCTTTTACAAAGGTTCCATTTTGTTTGCTTCATAAACTATTTGTAGATCTAATTTATATTTTTTTGCTGTTAATAATACTTTAGCTTAAGTACTATTTCTTCTATTTTAGAAGAAAATATCATTTTACCATTGTTTTTTTGTTTTAAAAATATCATTTTTGTTATGAACCAATTAGTGGATGTGTTATAACCATATTATCTAGACATAATTCGTGTAATTTATATGACGGCTTATATTTAGTTTTTTTTTCCTTATTTCTATTGGTTTTGTACTTTCCATTTATCTTCTATGTAATTCTTTATATAAGGGATCCTATGATCATAAATAATATACAACACTTTACACAATTCTCTCATTAGTTTACAATATGTTATCAACACGATTGTACTCTAAATCCTAAGCTAAAACCCGACCAAGAAAAACCCTAGCTCTCTCGCCGGTAATCATCAGCCTCTTCGACTCTTTCCTTTTCTCGGCGAACCCTAGACCCGAGAAACCCTAGTTTGCGGCTCTTTTCTTTTTCCGGCGAAGCCATAGAATGGATTTCCTTTTCCAGCAAAGTCCTAGCTCGCGGAACCCTAATTCGCAATCTCCCTTCTCAAAATCAAATCCGACGAGCCGCTTCTTTAACAATCTCAGTCCCTGCAATCTGATCAACAAATCCCGACCACAAGAAGCTCTTAGACGATCTCAGCCGTTCGTGATCCGATAGCACTACCGCGACCCGACGATCTCAAAGTTCGTTCCAAGCTCGCAGTTCTCTCTCTCCCTTGGTGGTCCGGTTCAACCCTACAAAACTAAAGGTATATTGATTTAATCCATAAAACCTAATTATCAGACCCTAAAACCCTAAAGATATTCTCATGGCATCCGTTTGTTCTTGCTAAACCCTAAAATATATCCCCTAATATTTTAAACATCAAACCGCATGAATGTATATACATTATATGCAAGAAATTCGATTCCCTAAAAACCTATATGGATTTATTTATTGTTTGGTTGATCTGAGATTTTGAAACCCTAATTATGGAATCGAAAACCCTAAACTCTAATTAAGATCCGTTTGATCCTTGAAGTTGTTTGTTTGATCTTATTAATGTTCTGAGTTTTGGTTTCTAGATTGTTTGAGTTTCTGATCTGTTTCTAAAATCTAAAACCCTAAATTTCGTTTTGAATCCCTAAACCCTAAAACGCATGTGATTAAATCCGATTTGAATTTTAGGTTTGATTCTTGTTATTTTGATTGATCTAATTGATGTCTTAAGAGTTAGGATTGCTTTGGTTACTGAAACCCTAATTCTTGATCAAAACCCTAAGACCCTAAATCACATATTGCTTTTGATTAATGGCATTGATTGATTGTTTTTGAAAGTTAGGTTGATAGATTATTTGATTCATATGACATATTGAATCTGAAACCCTAAATCTCGAATTTAAATCCCTAAAGGCGTTGAAACCTTAAAATGCATATTGCTAAATCTGAATGCTAGTTTCTCTAAATTGTTTTAACGGTCGTACGCTAGGTTGATTTTTTGTCATGATTGAAACCCTAACCCTGAACTAAACCCTACAATGCGTATTGTTAGCCTAGCTAAGATAAACCATAATCTATTGAATCCCCATGATAGTATAAAGCACTTGTTCATTAAGACAGATTTCATTATATATCTCCATGCCCGTGTGGCCTTATACATATAGAAATTATTGCATTACATTCATACGACTTGTATGCATCATGAGCATATAGTAATCGTTTTATTAGGTTGATAGAACATCATATATGGCCGCATGTTTTGATTGATCCGTATAACTGGTTATAAAATAGCCGCATGATCCTTGCATATACATATTAGTACCCATTTGCTAGGATTGATGCATCAAATCCATATTGAACATATAGACTGTATGTATTGTGATTGTTCATTAGGATTGCTTGCATCATACCACCTTGGCCATGTGACTTATTTTTAATAAAGCATTCGTATGAATTGACTGTTTGCTTGGCCACATCAAATTATTATATGAAAAAATTGATTGATATATGATTTCAGATGTTGAAAATTTGCAATCTAGATTATGGTGCCCTAAATCTCTCTGGAGATAACTATTTGCAATGGGCATGGATACTAAAATCAACCTGAGGACTATTATCGAGGATAACAATGAAAATGATATAAATAGATACAAGGCAATAAGTATTATTCACCATCATCTCACTGAGGGTCTAAAAGATCAGTATCTCACTATTGAAAATCCTTTAGACCTTTGGACCGCTTTACAGCAGAGATATGATCACCAGAAATGGTGTTACTACCAAAGGCTAGATATGAATGAAGGAATCTCAGATTCCATGACTACAAATCCGTGGATGAGTACAACTCAGTTTTATTTAAAATCGTCTCACAGATGAGACTTTGTGGTGAAGAGGTAACTGAGAAGGAGTTATTAGAAAATACCTTCTCCATATTCCATTCCAGCAATGTGTTGTTGCAACAGCAATACAGAGAAAGATGCTTCACCACCTATACCGATCTGATCTCATACCTATTACTGGCTGAGACTAATAATGAGTTTCTCATGATGAACAGTGAGATGAGACCTCCTGGCTCAACCCCATTATCTGAAGCCAATAAGGCTATATAAGAAAATAAAGATTCTAAAGAAAGTAACCACGTCTAGAGTGATAAACCACACATTCATAGCCGTGGTTGATGGAGAGGACGTGATGGGCCTGGACACTATAGCTCCCATGGACGTGGGAACCACTATAACCGTGGTTGTGGACCCAATTTCGGCCATGGTCGAGGCAAAGGACGTGGTGGTATCTCTAAACCACCACACTCGTCCAAATCAGTGTGCCACAGGTGTGGAATGGACAACCATTGGGCTAAGAATTGTAGGACTCACAGACATCTTTGTGACCTCTACCAAGAGAGCCAGAAATGAAAGAATCCATAAGCCCATTTGGTCCGCCATGATGGGGAAAACGATTTTGATCATGATCAGGATGACCTTATGGATTATGAGACTTCAGATTGCTTAAGAGAATGAATTTCGACATTCTGTGTGTTTTTGTTTGATTTGGTATTTGTTTTGTTTGTTGTATACGCTTTCTTTATAATAACATGATTTCTTTGAGTTTAATTTATTGCTATTATCTTGTCGGATTTTTGATAATATGAATGATTTTCATTATTAAAAACGCCAATATGAGTTTAAATTGCAAGTATAGTAAGCCCAATAAAAGACCACGGCTAGGGCATTGTATCATTGCCTAAAGGGCATGATTTATATTCACCCAGAGAAGTCCATTGAGATATAAGATATAATAATAGTTTCCACATTGAAATAATAGGTAAAGGAAATAAAAGTTCCTTCAGATTATAGAAAGAAAAAAATCGCCTAAGGCCATAAGAAAGTGGTCAAGACTATACATGCATCCTCTACTGATTTTTACTATATCAAGATCAGTATGATAAGAAGCAAATACCATGGTAATCAGAGTGTTTACCACGAAAATATTCACTTTATGGCATGACAGGATTGGCCATCATGGTCTAAACGTGATGCAAAGATTAATCTAGAAATAGGCACAAAGAGTTATCCCATAGAATCTCACGTGTGTAACATATACACAATGGAAACTCATTCGGCCATAATGTCCCAAGCATTTAAAGATTATAGTATGTTCATGAGGGGGCAGTGAGGACAAACCCGTGGTCCATGACCATACTATAAACGGCTTGGTCAAATTCTCTTATAAACGCATAAGACCATTCCCTATAAGGTCCAAAGCTTGGGGACACATGAAATTAACATGTAACTAAAGTTAATACGCATCAGGCTATCTAGTGAGCATAGATATTCCCATCTTAAATTGATTACGGGTCATGAACCAAACATATCTCATCTTAAGACATTTAGAAATGCCACCACAAACATATGTGCCATCTAAGATGGAGTTCTAAGAAGAAGATGGGAATATATGTTAGATATGTTTTCTCCCACAATTATTAATACCTAAAGCCAACCATGGGTGATTAGTTTGGGGCCAGGTACATGGATTGCATGTCTAATGAATCCAACTATCCAACATCAGGGGGAGAAAATAATAAGCTGGTAAAAGAATGATAAGAGAAATAGAATGGAATAAACCTTCATTGTCTTGGCAAGATCCTCGAACTAAAAAAAGTGAAATAAGATGTCCAAAGATAAATACAAATATTATACATTTATAAAGCTAGCTAATCAAATGCCAGACACATTTTTTTAACCCGAAAAGAAAAGAAAAGAAAAGAAAATAAAAGAAACGAAAAGAAAAGAAAAGAATGACTAAGTCATACCAGCTTGCACCAATGAATTTGATATCCTAAAGAGACACATTCAAGTTGCTACAGAGTCTAGACAAGGTAGACCAATAAGTTCCATGAGATAAGAATCCTTGGAAAGAAAAGAGAAAGGTGCATATAATGATAACAAATCCGAGATCAAAGGAAACCAGACCAGACATGGAGATAAGAATGGCTAGCTGAACATGTTAGGTACCAAACCATGTAGCTTAGGATGCCAAGCTGCTAGGTAATAAAGATCCTAGATAATAATCTCAAATCTATTAGATCATTTCTGGAACACCATGGAACCACATAAGAGTGTCGACATATAGATGAAAGCTACATTTAAGGAAG